TTCTTTCAGGACATCAACTGATCGCGGAGTGGTGTCGTACACTTTACTCTTGAGGTAGCCCCATAAAAAGAAGTCCATTGGGGTCAAATCTGGACTACGTGGTGGCCAGGAAATGTCTCCTCTTCAAAAAAATTACTTTGCTGGGAAAAAGTTGACAGACGACGGGCATAGAAGTGTTGGAGGTATGGGCAGTTGCTCCGTCCTGTTGAAACCAGGTCTGCGTATTATAGCCTGGAAAATTCTGCAACGCTGTTGTCAAAAACTCTTCTATCATTGCTACATACCGCTCCGAAGTAACAGTTAATGCGCGACCTCTGTCGTCCTCAAAAAAATAAGGGCCTACAATGCCATGCGCTGACATAGCAGCCCAAACTGTAACTTTAGGGCTGTGTAAGGGCTTCTGATGCTTACGCCTTGGATTTTCGGGGCTCCAATAACGGCAATTTTGTTTATTTACATGCCCGTTTAAATGGAAGTGAGCCTCGTCCAGGAACAACACATTGTTGAGCGAAGAAAATCGATTCAACATTTCATTCGCAAAGTTTAGTCTCTGAATAGCGTCATTATCTTTTAATTCCTGCACTAACTGAATTTTGTAAGCGTGCAGACGTAAATCTTTCCTTAAAATCCGCTGTAAAGATGTTCTGGGTACGTTTAGTGCACTGGAACGCTTACGAGTAGACTGGGTAGGATTTTGACGAACAGACTGTGCCACAATGTTGATGTTTTCTTCAATACGAGTTGTCCTTGGTCGACCCCACCGCTGTTTATCTAACGTCGAACCAGTCTCTTCGAACTTAGCAATCCAGTTCTTAATCGTTTGAGATGTTGGACACTTTGTAAAATTGTGTAAATTGTGGTATTCTCGATATTTACGCCGCGCAATGGTTGCCGAATCAATATTTTGATAAAACGCGCGCACACAAAAAGCACGATCCGCTCCAGTGAAACACTCCATGGCGACTGAATTCCCAGACACTGAAGATACTGCCCCCACCTCGCCCGCGCCGCTCAAGCTCACCCGTTAAATTTTATTCAAATTTGAAATTTCAAAGGACTTATGGACCACCCTGTACAACATGATATCCATTTGGATGCACGTAAGATCCACTCGACTAAAACCTACTAGTGAGAGTCATTTTGCTGCTCCGTAGGTATTTATGCTGTGACAACCAAAAAAGCTAAGTTCTATGACATACTGGTAGATTCCTTGTAGGTGTGAGAGATGTTTCAGGCTATCTGCCTTTTCAGTAACACCCCAAAGGTATGATGAGCAAATACTCGAGGCTGGGTCTGATCTGGGCACTACCAAAACTGGAGACTGATATTCATTATTAACTATTTTAATCGTAATAAAGGAATCGGTAACCCTCTTGCTGAGCCGTCACTGTTGATGGTTGAAATATGAAAGGTTTATTTGCTCAACCGAATAATTAATGGTGTATCCTCTCAGGGAGTTTTGATGTGAAATAACGTTCGAAAATAGCATTCAATTTCGAGAACTGTTGATAGTTTGAAACATTCAGGTGCGAAAGATTGCACCCACAAATTTTTCAAACACACGTGAGCCTCTTTGAAGTATCTAACAGTGGCGTAGGTTGCTTCTCATGGACCCCATATCAAAATTTGTAGGGGCGTCCCACACACAACTTTGGAGAATCCCAAATGGAGGGTAAAATCTAGATTTCTACAAAAGACACAAACGCTTGCATTGAATAATATATGTATTGACACGTATTGACCATAAACGCCCGCAGGAAGTTAAAAACGTTTTTACTGCACAAGTACATCATAAAAAATCATGTCACCAATTTCCGTCGGTCTGTCCGCAAATCTTTGGCTCGTCTGTAACTTGGAAAGTACCGCTCGGATTGGATGGAAGTTTGGCACAAGTAAAAGGTATATTTGTATGCATATTCTCAAATTTTTCTGTTATACCTATTCTTACGACCCTGACCAGTGCGTAACTACTATCAACAACTGACATTGGGATTTAGTGTAATTAAAAAACTTTCCTCCATCGATGTTGAAGTTATTTATTTATTAACTCTAAGATGTAAACTACCTAGGTACTCAATAAATATACTTCAATAGCACTCGATGTTAGAGCAGCACCTTGCAAATGCCATTTGAGTCAAGTGGTATCATCATTTTACCAGTTCCTTTAATTGTAACACGCAGCTCTGATACTCCATTATATGCTTGAATGAACATTGTATTTATGTACGGCTATGTATGTGCATTTATAGGCTGCCTCCAAGACATCTAACGGCACATGTGCTTTGAATGTTCAACTTTGTCGTGCCGCTAGTCAAAAAATAAGTCTTTTAAGTTTTTTCTTAAATAATTGCCTAACGACTATTTATCTATCAGGTTAGACTGTGTTCCTTTCCATTTTCCACTGTCGTAATTTAATGTAATCTAAGATGACCATCCAGGTATTTGAATAAAAGAACAATAAGCGAAGTTGCGACGCCCGTACGGTGCAATTCACAGTTATCATCGCGAAAGAGATCAGCTCAGCTAGCCATATCAAGAACACCTGTAAGGCGTATTATATATATATATATATATTTGTCAGTTGTAAACGAAATGCTTAGTGGAAAACTGATATCGCGACGAGGGGACATTCCGTGGCCTCCCCGAAGCCCAGATCTCACGCCAATGAGTTGTTTTCTCTGGGGATACCTCAAGAGCCGCATTTACATTAACAAACCGACGACGATTGCCCAGCTCAAGCACTACATTTCCCACTAGCTCTGTGCCAGCGAGTTTTCACGAATTTGAAGTCGAAATTCGACGAGTGCGTACGACTTGATGGCTCAAATCTCAATAATTTTATTTTTTAAAAATAAGATTCCCATGTGCCTACTTTATTAAAAATATAAATTACCTTCCCTACGCTTTGCAGTTTTTTTTCTATGATTTTTGCAGATTTGCTCAACTTAATTGCCCTCCCTGTATTTCCTGCAGGTTTCTTCCTGCGCTTTGCAAAAGTACCCTAAATTTCTTTTAACATTTCATTTTTATAACATCCAGTTCCCTCCAATCCCTGTTATATTATTTGAGCCATACACCTTTTGTTCAGAGTTGTGAAGTATAAAATGTAGTTCACAAAGCTGCAATATGTTTGTAAATAGTATAAGAAAATGAAACAAACTGCAAACCATAACTGTTTCTTTAAGGTGATCCAAAAGAATCCCAGTCAGTAGCCAGGCTGCTGGCAGACCCTGAGAAAGATTAAAGATGCGGTTACTTATGAATGAGTTATTACGATAACTCATGCCGTTATAAGATCTCCCATATTCCACCAAATTCCTATTTATAAAAGTATAGCAATCTCAGATTTATATGTAGAGCTGGCAATGCACTAATACACAATCTGGCAACAACAAAGGATGGCGGTTGACAATGACATAAGTCAATCGTGTTGCGCTTGGGAATTCCAGCTTCTTCAGTCTATATGTTTTATGGTCTTCAGTTTATTGTTTACTGTTTTGTGGACAAAAGGCGAAAATAATATTAATGTAATTACCTTTTTTTAGTTTATTAATTTTTTGTGCTTTAAAGCAGCTTGCGATTAAGAAAAAGCTAATTAATCATGATAAAATAGAGTGCCGCTGTAGTACATAAAAGAATTCATTCCAGATTAATGATTACTAACGTTAGGGAAACGTGATTCTGGGGTGGATTTGATGCTCAAAGTGATTCAAATCAATCAGTCAGCGCAAAAACCACTTGCAACTGCTTTTTTTACTGAAAACGCTCCATTAAAGGTAGTATTCCGAGTGAACCCACAGTTGCTACATTCTTTTCACTTCAAATAACAGCAGGCAATACACGTTCATTGAAAAAACATTGTAAGCCCGGTTTTTTCACGAACTACTTGATGGCGGATGTTAAGTGGCTCATTTCAAAGACAGGACCAATATCCCTGTCTTGTATTTTAATATTTATGGGTAACTACAAAAATAAGGTTATGGCACTTATATGCCTGAAATCACTTGTTTCCTGTTTCTTACCAAATCTATTGAACCATTTCTTCTCATTATTATGTTCTTTAAATATATGCTAAATATTTTAAATAGTGGTTCCATTTAAAATTTCTGTTATTGAAAAAATACATTATTGAAGTTCAACAATAAGTCTATGTACCTTTTCACGATGGTTGATTCATTGTTCAGTTGTAAAACGCGAAATCCGACCTTCTCAGGTGTTTGCTTTCCCTGGTTTTCCCTATGTACCTAAAAAATATTAAAAGATGCTAAAACATGTATATTAGCAAATCAATATTTGAGTGCAATTTTAAATAAAAGCAATGAGAAATATGGTTAGTTTGCTTGTTATATACCACTAATCCCAGCATATGGAACTTATCCTGTGGTTTACATGTCAATAATCAATCCCTCATGCTTATCTGGCCAATAAAAGCTCAGGTACTTCAAAATTGATTTACCAATGACAGTTTTTATTGTCATGTGGAAAATTCAAAATACGGTACTTGCAAGGTTTTTTCACAGACTGGTACAGATGTTCTGATTGCACCACTATCCAGTAGTCATTCTTGAATAAACACAGGTCTTATGTTTGTTTCAAATCAAAATTTGCTAACAAAAACTTTTACTTTCTTGGAACTTAGCTTTATCTATAAAAGCTCTGTGGTTTATCACCTTTTGTGTAGTCAAAATAAGAAATAACAGATGTTTGATGTTTTGTGGACTAGAAATGTACACCAAGTACATTGGTTATAATATTGCAATAAACCCTTTTTAAGTAACCAAAATATTCCTTGTTAATGTATATCCATTCTTAGGGTTAGTTAACTACTCTAATCTAGGTGGATGGTGCATTATTCGTCATAGTTCCACATGTTCCTATTAATAGTTAAAAATTAAACAGATTTTAATTGTTATCAATTTTTTACAAGCAACACAAAAATATTATAGTTCGATAAAATTGTAACAAGTAACATTTCTAGGTGAACAAATAGGAAATGGAATATGTCAAATGCCCAACAAACCCTAGCCATACTTAAACCTCACATAGTGAAGAACCCATTTTCACTTAACCAAGTTAAAAACATAATTTTGAAATCGAATTTCGAAATTGTATGTTTGAAGAGAAAGATAATCAGCATAAAAGAAGCAGAATCATTCTACAGTGAACACAAAGGACAATTTTTTTATAATAGGTTGGTTAGCTTCATGACCAGTGGCCCAAGTGAGTTGATGGTATTAGCTAGGGAGAATGCTATACAAGAATGGCGGCTATTGATGGGACCAACAAAAGTATTTAGAGCACAATTTGAAAATCCATGTAGTTTAAGAGGGCAGTTTGGACTATCAGATACTAGGAATGCCACACATGGATCTGATTCGCCAGAATCTGCAGTTAAGGAAATACAACTATTTTTCCCAGAATTCAGCTAGAAATCCAAGGCTGTCAACTCAAGATTTCTTGAGTTTCTTTTTACTGCAATGTTATTACACTGGATACAGATAACTTCAAATTTAATTATTATAAAACAGACTACTACACAACATTAGACTACTTATGATATTTAAATATTTTTTTTTGAGGCCATGCTGCCTAGATAACAGACTGTGTAATTTATATAGCTATATATTTTTTAGTTCAGCAACAAAAGAAAAGTGTCTGCTTCAAATTAAAAAAAATTTCTAACCCGCAAATGCTTATTTGACCATCCTTTGTCAGTTATTTAGGTAGCCTGGTCTTTAGCTAGGACTCGAGTTTTATATATTTGTAATCGTGTACAGCTTTAGTTCAGTTAGTATGATCATTGATTAATGTATTCTATTTGAAGATAGCCAATCATGTACTGTATTTCGGCATCAAAAAAATTGTTTGAGAATTTATCACTGCTATACCCTATTTAACGAGTATCCATTACGGCAGAATGACAGCTGATTATATAGTAATATCTCAAAATTCCCCATATCGGCCCGGGACACATAATTCTGACGGATCAGTCAACGGCGGCCGAATTTTGTTTTGGTTTTTTGTACGCTACAGATTGATTTTGAACTTGTTAACAGCTCTTCTATTTAGAAAAGTTCATTTGCATACAAAAAACAAAACGCCACAAACAAGTTTTACTATAAAAAAAATAGATTTATACCCGATAAATTATTGCCAACGTTGCAGACTAAAACAAAAATGTCACTTGCTGATCAGCTGTTTACCTTAGTAGACGTCAAAGCGTGATGGATACTCGTGAAATAAGGTAAATGTTTCTCTTCTCCACAATATTAAGAAATCTACTGAAAAGGATAGTATCTCATAGATGGCGCTGTAGCCAAATAAATGGCATATACAGTCGAATTCATTTACTTTTTCTGCCTTTCCCAGTCAATGTGTATGAGAGAGATAGAGAGAGAAGCGTGCAACATAGGAGCGTCCACACCTCCGTATCCGACTTTACGTCATAACCTACGGGGAGCTGATATTTGTGCTTGTAAAATTTTAAAGTTTAAATTTAAATATTTGATAAAAAACAGAACGTTAATCACTCCCTAGTAAGCCACGCTCCCATTTTCTGCTTCTCGTTACTGAATTGAATATTATACCATTGTATTTTCATATATGTAGATTATAAAAATAATAGCGTTCATAACTTAGGATGCCGATCTATATCATCGATGCCTATTTTGGGGAAGTCCAAAATTTGTTAAATAAATAAACTAACCCAAAAAAGACTTTGACATTTCGCTACCTTATATCTATTCCGATCTTCCCCAATCTCCAGTTTCCATTTATGCATAATCGTTTATATTTGATAATAGGTCATGATTATATACACACTATGGTCCATCCATGTGGGGTTAGAATATTGCTTGTCGTCGGATTTCGATTGGCGATCTAGCCCTAATAATCCTCACTATAAATATCCGAATTTATTCTTCCCTACTGTCGGCAGTTGCAGATCTGTTGGCTCTCGGTGTCCAACCTATATCGCCTTTTTTTTCAAATCGTGAGCACATTATTCGTCGGATTTTTGTCACTTAAATATCTTGTAATTACTCGGATCAAAAGCTTCTTAATAATAGAACGTGTTTCACATATCAAAGATGCAACATTTCTTCCCATAACCAACACTTTTTAAGCACTACAATTTTTTTATGACAATGATTTGGAATCCCTGTAACGTCAAAAACCGAGTTTCAGCGACTCATGTTTTCCAAGTTATAGACGGGTAAAGGATTAGAAGACAGACGGAAATGAGTGATATAGTTTTTCGTGATGTATATGTCATATAAGACCTAAAAAACATAACATCTCATTTTCTAAATATTCCACGCCACAGGCGTACGAAATAAAACGGCTTTAAGATGGAGGAGTAAAAAATTTTAATTTGCTGAAGCAGCCTAAAGTCAAGAAATCAGTATATTCACCATCTTAGGTTTCATTTATTGACCATATAGATCAACAAGTTACATTTACGTAACTAGTTACGAACATTTACTTTGCATCACGATTTATGAACACCTATTTGCAGAATTTTTTTTTTATACTCCAACTACCACGAAGGCCTAAGCACCCATTGGGTACCGTGGGGCTATAGGGGGATACATGGGAAAGGGGGGGGGGGGACGCCACACGGACTCTGGCGAGGGAACACGTGTGCATGCAACATGCACACATTCTGGCTCCGCCTACGAGAACCGCCGGGTGGTACCTCCGCGTTCGACAGTCAGAGACCATCTACCACCTACGGACAATCACAACATCCATAGCCAAGAGAAAAATTTCTCCTGAGGCGGGACTCGAACCCGCACGGCGACTGATCAGGAGACCGAAGAGTCTACTACTGCGGCCACCGCTGCTGCCTAGAATGGCTTATATACACGATATATGAAATAAGGCCACCAAATTATCTGAATACGTCCTTTCTTAGTCCGTACATACCGCCGCGTCGGTTGGGCTGACATCACGAAATAGTAGACAATTTTTTTTCGAAATTGACGCTTTATTTTTGAATAAAATTTTTTCAGTGCGCTGAAAATAAAACCACACAGGGTGCTATTGAGCTACTTTTTCATTTTTCCACTAGGCTCTTTTTAAGAAAATCGCGAAGTTAAACAAAAAAGTAAGCATTTCAACCCACCATAAATCTTGTACAAAAACAAAATTTCAAATAGTGCTCCCACAGAACCCTGGGCAATTGTCGTCTGAACATACTGTATGAATTTCATTCGAAAATGTTGAAAAATGGAGTGTGAGTTTTGAAGCAGGTGAACCCCTTGTAAATGGCTTGAAACTCACTGCGTCGCAGCCGCCTTAATAGTACAAAATAATGATCACGTTCTGGTCGAATTTGCCAGTTCTTAGTTGAACTGTACAGACGCAGCTATAACTTGGTTGAGGGGGGCAGTTCAAAAATATTGAGCTCTGAGGTTGTTCATTGATTCCAAAATTTGCAAAACTGAAAGTTTCAGAACCCCACGATAATTTGTGAACTAATAACAGTAGCAAAAAACTAATCTCCGCGATTGATAGTTTTCCCCAGCTATAATTTTTATGGCCAACTTGACGTATTCAGTTCCAAGTTAATAGAAGGGTCAATAATAAGCGGACTGACAGACCGACGGAAATAAGTGACATGGTTTTTCGTGATGTCATGTAACATCTAAAAAATATAATATCTCATTTTCGAACTTTTTTGCGATTACAAAACTTCCTCACCAAGTGGCGCAGGAAGTAAACGTAGGTCATTCGATTTAAACAAAATCATCTTTGAGATGTGGCTCAAAAATAGGACACCTTGTATTTTATTTATGATCCATAAATATTTTTTTTTAAATTTTCGTTGAAAAGAAATGTTCCGTTCCCATATGGATGTGTCACCCTGTACATATACATTTACTATAGCTAGCACAATGAAACAGACGATCATTTCAAATTTTTATTATGGAAGTAAGATGCGAATATACATTTATTATAAAGGGTTTGAATTAACAATGAAAACGAAGTTTTTTGAAACCATTAACGGCGCTTGCTTTTTCCTTTTTTCTGTCCCTTTTTTTGTTGTGGCAGCTGGGTCTTTGAAGGCTTTGGTGTAGTCTCAGCGGCCGCATTGGTAGACGGATTCTCTTCTACGAATTTTGAGAAGTCGCTGGAAAGCAAGGAAATATACAGAACGTGCCATAACATGTAAAAACATGAAATATCTGAACATATGTCATGGATTGAATTTTTAGCTACAGTGCATTTTCGAGAAAAAAATGTATTTTATTTTATATCTTCGAATGATATATTTTTACATTTGGCATGAGGATTTAAAAAAACATAATTTAGCAGAAAAAGTTGTTCTATTACATCACCAATGTCACCTTTCAAAATGTCATTTTTACAAAGAAACTAGTACGCCGCTAGCAAGCCAAATGATTTATGGAGTATTTCTTAATCGTACAATTTTTTAATCCTTGTACGACGTTTTTTATAGGAATGAATGAATGAATGAATCGTGAAATTAGAGGCATTCCGGCCACCATAAGGAGCCAGTGCATAGGCCGCTTAAGCGGGCACTTATGCACCTCTACATTCATTAGATCACAAGCCTCGCCCTTTTAGCGAAGTTGAGAATCGCCTTGAATACAAGCTCCTTGACGTCCTGAGGGTCCAAAGTAATGGACCCCAGTTTAGTCTGCCTATATACGTAGTAGCTCAGAGCTTCACAGCGACACAAAACGTGCGCCGAGGTCTCTTCCAGCAATCTTAGGTTGGCTCTATCCAGATGTAAGCAGTAAGATCCATCCTTAGCACTGGGCCCTTCAATGAGTTCCCGTGCCTGGCGGAGATGTCTGGAGATACTTCTCTTTTTCTGAGAATGTTGCCTTGCAACCCACGACTCCATTTTCCTCCTAGCTGTATGCGCGGTTACTCCTAGAGCTGGCTCAGGACCAACGAGCTTGCTGGCTGATCATGTGCCCCGCTACCCACATTAACGATACCGAATGCCTCGCTGCGAGGGAATTCTGAGCCTCTCTGCATTGCAATACAAGACTCGAAGTAATCTTATAGGCCCTCAGTGCTTTCATTGCAGACTGGCTGTCGGATAAGATTGTTATTCTTCTCCTAGGCCCACCCACCTCCAGAATGCGAGATACACAAGCCAGAATCGCTAAGATTTCCGCCTGGAAAATAGTGGTGTATTCACCGAGAGGCAGAGCTAGCCTAGTTCTAGGCCCAGAGACCCCAGCTCCTGAGCCCTCTTTGGTGACCGAGCCGTCCGTCTACCGGCGTCCCACTCCTCCCTATTGGATACTCCACAATAAACTTGCGGTTGAAGCAATATTTAGGGGTAATACTCTCGCCCTTGCTTAAAAGGACGGGGTCCTCCCTTTGCAATTCGACTAAGATGGCAGTATGCCCCTTGACAGGATTCAATTCATTTTATAGGAACTTGTGACATTATTTTTTTGTATCATATATGAATACGAGAGATTAACATATTATTCTGGGGCAGCTTGTATACTCCAATAATTTAAAAAAATCTTGTTAATGTTATCACCTTCTGATTTATTTTTCACTTACAATTGCTCAGCTTGTGCAGAAGCTGTCCCTTGTGATCCCTTGATGACTTCTTTGGCCCTTCTGTCCTTTTTCTTCCTATAGCCGGTTCTCTCGTATCTAGCCAACCACCGTTCCGGATCTGGGGTCACGCTGGGATCATAGTTTTTAGGTAATTTACCCTTCCGTTTTTTATGCTTATCAGTTTTCTTCTGTTTGATGTCTTCTCTGGGAGTACTAAAACATACATTCTTCATCTTGTTACTCAAATTCTACAGTCAGCATTGTAATAAATTATAGTTAAAAAAATAAACGCACTTATTAAGTGTGACTGATTCATTTGAAATAAGATCAATATAAAAATTAAGATATTAACAAAAAAACTCAAAGAAGAATAGCGTGGAGTGCTTAATATTAAATATTCGAATTATTTTTTTAGTTGCCATTTACAAAATTGGCACGAAACTATTTTGCATCCAAGCTTTAATTACTGTAATTAAATTTTTTGTTGATATCTTCATTTTTATATTATTATTATATCTTATTCCAACTTTCCATTGTAGTGTAGAGTATTTTCTACTTTTTAGTTCGATTTGCTATTAAAGCGTGTTTTTTAGGATTTGAAACTAGTGTATTATTTTCTGGATTTTTGGTACCAAATGGTCAACAAAAATACTTATCTGGAGATTCGTTTTTTGTATATTATATATTTGACAATAAATCTAAATTTACTTACAAAAGTCGAAATTTCCAACATGTTTTCAAAATTACTGAATTTTTCTCAAAATTTCCAATTTTTTCCAAATTTCAAATGTTTTAAAAATTATCAAATTCGAATTTTGTTCCAAGTCATCGGCCCTTAAGCTATCTGAAAATTTTCAAGTGAATCAGACTTCTTGAAATTAATAAAAATTAGGTTGAAAGGTACCATTACATACAAGTCAAGCTAATAAAAGCGCGTTAAAAAATCGTGAAGCATTGTGGGACTGAATTAAAAAAAAATGGGTAGGTTGAGATCCATTTGAAGCTCTTACCTTGGCAATGAATCTTGCTTGATAGCTGGACTTTTCTTGGTGTATATTGGGGCAGCGAGCGTTGACACCAATAGATTTTCTATATCCACATCTTTTGCTATATCTTTTACATCAGGCAGCCGTTTGCTTAGCTCCAACGCACGAGCAACATCGAACTGTAAGCGAACATATCACCTGTACTATTTGTAGTGCATTTACAGGATTATATTAGCTATATTTTTATATCCAATATGGATATCATAGAACTGTTTTAAATGTAATTTCATATAAATTTACTTACTTGAGAACAAGCTAAGACCAGTTGAGCAATAAGCTTCTTATCATCCCCATTAGTTTTTAGTAGCTCTTCCAAACTATTGGCTGCTACCTGAGGTAGCCCTTTCTTAATGTGGAATTCTGCCGCTTGTCTCCATAGAGAAGACAGACCAGCTTTGGTTATCTATTACAGAAAGAATTCATATACTTGTTCCAAATTCTTAAAATGGTTTCCATATAGTGTACATGCGCATGGAGAGTAAAGACATCTTCATGTTTGATGAACTATCCAAATACATTATTTGGAAGCTGAGACATTTCGAGATATACATATATTAACAAGCACCATTTTTTTGTTATTAGCTCAAATGAAAGTTTAGAAAAAATGAAACAAGATGGTGAAAAAATATTAATTTATCTTTAAAAACAAAAAAGTTACAGCCCATCAAAGTTGCGCCCCGGGAGAATATTGTTATTCCGCCTGTACGTTACGTGTGACTTCAGTATCCAGTTGCAACGCCCGCGGCTGATTCCTGGGCTCGAGCCGACTCAATCTCCTAAACACATGCATAGGCACACATACAACGGGACACATGGTAGCCTAAACGTCTTCTGCCCCATTTTTTTTAATTAGATGACTGCATATACGATCGGTTATGAGGGAAATAACAAAAAAAGGTTGTTATAACTACTGTACCGTTCCAAAATGTACGAGCACAACAATTATTACAACCCCCTTTTTTCTACGTACCTTCACATGCGGCGTCCATAATGGTATGAACTTACGCAGTACTCAATATGTAGTTATCAACTGGAAACCACGTGTCCGAGCGTACAGGCGTGCCTTATGAATTGTCTATAGACTAATGATTAAACGCTGTCGAACACCTACGCGACGAGAAGCTGGGCACTAGAGAAGTGTGACGTCAGACGCGAACGAATGGCAGCTATGATTTCGTGCTATAATGCGCCAAATTTAAGCATCACTTTCTCTGTCATTTATCGGCCGATTTCAATAATTTTTTCACTGGCTGATTATGTTTAGTCTATATTTTGCTGGTATGTCATTACTTATGCTATTCTGAATATCACGAAACTTGTCCTTTGCCATGTAATATAGTGTCCAAAGATCTACCATTTCGAAAATAAATTTTAGACATTTTCTTTTAGATTTCTACTTCTATGCACCAATTTATATGTTCATTCCTAGTTGAGTCTGTACATCAGGTAATTTTGAGTATTTTGTGAGTAGCAGATATAGCTGTTGATAATAATCATTAATACAACTATGGAGAGGGTCGAAACTTTAGCAGATAGATAATTATGAAATTTTCAGCACATTTATCGAGTATTTTCAGCCGTAGGCATGTTTCTCTCAAACAACAAATGTTATGTAAATTATTCTACATTAGAGATCAAAAACATCTACATCTTATCTTATCAACTATGTCTAACTAAATAATCTTAGTTAAAATACTTGAGCAGCTATTGATAGGTACATAGAGAGACTAACCTCATTTCTCTTGTAATATTCAACAGTTCGTTCAAAGACCTTTAATGCCATTTGTTCATCTCCTAGGCCAAGGTAAAGTGTTGTTAAGGCTCCAACTATTCCTGGTTTGTAGGTATGCTCTCCCAGATTTTCCAACACCTTACATGCTTCTTTCCTTTCTCCCTACAGCCCAATACATGGTAAGAATATGAAATGGAATTTTTTAAATATTTTAGTAGCTAGATTATATCCATTTATAGAGTAAAATGGCAATGGCGCCATTGCCCCCAAATGCCTCAGACTTGCAGGAAAAAAATGAGGAAGGGAAAGAAGGAGAAACCACATTGTTTTTTGTTTGAAATTCTAACTTAAAATAAAGGTGCATTCTGTTCACTACTCTTTATTATTTCGCTTCTTAATCCCCCTGAAAGTAGGCAATCCACACAACTTACCCTCCCATTTTGATACATTTAGTATTACCATTATAATGTATGTAGTTTGTTCTATCACATAAATTTTAGGATTTGCAAAAAGAAATTAAATCTATTGAGAAGCTGAAAATATCTAGATTTGTATGAACGACATCATTATATACCCTGTTGTGTACTATACTACTACAGATAACAGGGAGTATGCAAAGAAGCTTTGAGAAGTTTAAAAAAAATATTACCTGCATCAGGTGTATTTGTGCAATGCATAAGTGCAAATACAACCTATTATCCTCCCTTTCTGTGTTCTTAAGGAGTTCAATAGCTTCTTTGACTTTGTCAGCTTTGATAAGATTCAGTGCTCTCAAAATGAGGATCTGAATCATCAAATCTGGATAAGTATCTTCAATATTCTTACAAATTTTCTCACAGATTTCTGTTTGATTAACATAGTAATTTAAGATTGCATTATTTAGTGCTATGTATTTCCTTTGTCTTGAGGGAAGCTTGTAAACTAATGCTTCGTTCATGGCAGCTTTCATTTTCTTCTTTGAGTCAAACAAGTTTTGATCTTTATTGATACAAACAACATTATTGCTCGCTGCAGCAATTAGCGCCATATCCTCAATTTTCAACTTCAAAGTAGCAGTGTATATCTGATGAGCTTCTCTAATCCTACCTTGCTTTTGGTATACATAAGCCAGCTGAACCCTATAACAAATTCAACATTATACTAGTTCAGTAAACATGTTATTCATTTATCTCATATACTTTATCAAAGCCAATTCTATATCAATTTCTTCCTCTGCAGCTTCATCTTCCTCTAAAGCTTCTCTACACAGCTTCTCACACTGTTTAAGCTTTTTCTCGGCCTCAGTATAATTCTCATGAGCAATAAGAATGCATGCCTTGTTGTAGCATAGTTCATATGTGTTATCTTTAAGATAATCAATTTGGTTCTCCTGAAAAAAGAGCAATTGAACATATTTAGCTAAAGGAATCTATATTTATTTATTTATTTATTTCCTCTCAAGGAAAAACATTGTATAGGAATTGTCATACATTTTTAAATCTAAAAAAAACATACATCTAACAAAAAACAGTCAAACAGTGAAAAATAAGATTTAACAGCATATATATGACAATATTCTTACACAGTATAATAGCTATTTTCAATGAAGTAGTCTTTTAATAGATTCTTAAATGTCTTTTAGACTGTGGCAATTCTTTATTTCCAAAGGAAGTAGGTTAAACGTTTTTAGGCTATTAATATTTTGGGACTTACACATAATTTGAGTTCTATAGGGTGGTATATAAAAATCTTCACTAATCCTTATATTAATTGAATGCATTTGGACATGTGTTGGAAAATAATTTTCTCTATTTTTAAATATGTATAAACAAGTTTCCAATATATATAATATATATTATATATACAAACTAATTAATTGATTTAATGGTAGAATATTTCTTAAATTTAATAATAAATAATATAATGAATTGAACCTTGTGATTAGTTGTTCCCAGGAGATATCCGATACATTTGCATTGTATTTTGGATCGGTATTTCAACAGGCTGAGAAACCAAATTTTGATATGTGTAATAGTGACTACACATTCTCCCAGGTCACCGAGGCGCAAGTTAAAGCAAGTATCAGAAGGTTAAAACCAAATAAAGCAACTGGTAATGATAACATCCCTTCATATATTTACAAAGGGTGTTCAGATATATTGAGTGCCCCATTAATGACAATTTTCAATCTGTCCTTAAGGACAGACACGTTCCCAGAGAAATTTAAAAATGCATCTGTAACACCAATATTCAAGTCAGAAGACGCCAGTTTAGTTAACAATTACAGGCCTATCACTGTTCTTAATGCTCCTGCAAACATTTTTGAAAACATATTGTATCAAGATATCCTGAACTCGAGTAAAAACGAATTTGCTTTTCAACAACATGGTTTCTTGCCAGGTGTCTCAACTGTTACCAATTTGAGCATCTTTACAGAGGCAGCAGCTGAGGCTATAAATAATAAACAACAGTTGGATGTTGTGTTTACAGATTGTGTCAAAGCTTTCGATAGGGTTGACCATGGCCTGTTGGTGGCTAAAATGGGTAGATTTGGTTTCTCTTCAACTGCATGTAAATTTATAGCGTCTTATCTTACCATAAGACCACAACAGGTAAAAGGTTGGCAGATCAGTACCAAACCAATACATAGCTTCATTTGGGGTGCCGCAAGGTAGTAACCTTGGTCCTTTGCTATTCTGTATTTCCATTAATGACTTACCAAACTGCATAAACAATTCAGAATGCCTCCTCTATGCTGATGACTTTAAAATATTTAAGCCCATAACATCATCTAAGGATTGATGAACTACAGAAGGATTTGGATTTGATATCCAATTGGTTTCACGAAAATAAGATGTCGTTAAATATCGACAAATGCCATGTTTTAACTTTTACACGAAAAAAACAATACATACATTTTACATACACGATTGAAAATGTACAGCTAGACAGAGAAAGCACATGCAAGGATCTTGGCATCTACTTTCAAACAAACTTAACATTTGTCCAGCATTATGAACACATTGTAATAAATCTTATAAACTCCTTGGATTCATATTTAGGCATACAAGATATTTCAAGGATATAAATACAATAATAACTTTGTACAACACTCTAGTGAGACCTAAATTAGATTATGCATCAACTATTTGGTCACCACAAACAATCCATATCGAAATGATTGAGAAAGTGCAAAAGAGATTTCTCAGATATTTGTATTCTAAAAAACATAATATACAGGGTGACTTCGAAGTTGAGTCATTTATTTTAACAGTGAGTAGATCTGATCAAAAGAAATGTTTTTTTCCTTTACCATTTTTCTGGTAAAATTAAAGTAACAAAGTTATAGCCCTTTGGAAGTTTGAGTACCGCCCTGTCTCAATAATATTATGTGCTCGTGTTTGGCGACAACGGATATAATCCGCCGTATCAGTTCATCACATCGGTACAAAAAAGCGAAAGAATTTGGAACGATGTTTTTACAATTATTTTATTCATTTGTATACAGTCAGTGTCAGTGAATAGTGGTGTCTGTTGCGTGGCTCAAACGAAGTAAAAAATGGCACATGTTTATGCGGATCGGTTTCCCAATCGAGTGCAACCAACCCCTCGTGCCTTTGTTAATGTAGTACAACGGGCTCGTGAATCAGGTGACGGCATGCCGGTGCTCCAAGACCTCACGATCAAATACAGGTCCGCACTGAAATACTTGTCGGGAGGATACTTTATAAAACAAGGTAAAATTTTTTTATATATTTTTTTTATTTTTACACACATATTTTGGTTTATCTTCCTTCTACAATCATTATCTGAAAATTAATGACTCAACTTCAAAGTCACCCTGTATATTCTTTTATGATCTCATATAAGAGTATGTTGAATGAATTTAAAATGGTCAAATTAAGCGATAGACGTCATTTGAGTGATGATTTATTCGTCTACAATGTCAGTAACAACCTAAAGTATGAGAAATGTGATTTATATAAATATGTATTATTTGTAGTTCCTAAAGTTAAACTAAGAATAAAAAAACAAATTGTTCCAGTGTCAAAAGTTAAGTCGCTCTCCTATAAATAGGATGATGTACGAATGTGACATTCTTATGTAACAGTGTGGTTTAGGCCCGTATCGTCAGTCGTCCCTACAATTGTAGGGCGCCTTTATGGCCTCCTTGATTGTCATAGTTTTCTACTTCTCCGTGTCAGAAATCTATTTTGAGGTTATGTCACAAACATCTATTTGCATCAAATTGTGCTTGCTTTTGAGTTATATCATGTTTTATCAGCCTGAAATTTCCTACAATTTAAAAAGAAAACATATCTTCACAATAGGAGAGCGCTGACGCTGACACAGGACAAGTGTAATCTAGAAATTTTTGAAGGAGAGAAAGGAGTATGACAATCAAGGAGGCCATAAACGCGCCCTACAATTGTAGGGACGACTGACGATACGGGCCTTAGACCTTTTTTGTACATCAGTAGGACAAATCAACGCTGTGTTTCTAAACAGCACATTGCCTTGATGCCATTAGTATTATATACTATTTTATGTTTTGCATTTTAAAATGTTGTTTTGTCTTTGTAATTTATTTTTTAGTAGGGGCTCTTACATTTAAATACATTTGTATGTGTTTGTAGGAGGGTAAATAAATAAATACATAAATTATCTGACAACTAGTTGTATTTAGTTTTAACTGTTTTCATTTTAAACAACATGGTTTGTAACTACTGTCAAATGATGATGTTACCAGCTGACCCTTTGGACATCACCATTTATGACATTTATGGACTTGATATGTTCCCCAGACCTTTTGCTTAAAATTAACTTATATGTACCAGCCAGACAAATGAGGCAGAACCAGTTGTTCTCTGGTAATTCTCATAAAACTAATTATTAACTATGCCATGCATGGGTCTACGTCAACAATAGGTACACAGGGCAAATGATTTACCACCCGCATTGGATATTTTTAATTAGCATTTCAAGATTGCACAAATGTTATTGCATTAAGTGAATGTATGATGTATATATAAATATGTTTGTGAAATAGTTCGACAGTTAATATATTACTATTGTTACTATCACTGTATTTACTTATATTGATTATATATAACCATAGTTCATCACTCAAAATCACTTAGTCTTGTGACATAAATGAAATAAGCTACTTTTCATAGTTGATGCTGAAAGTCTAAGTCCCATATATTCATCCATATATAAAATATAAACAAAATGTCTATAATGTTTGTTGAATAAATTATAAGAATACTTAACTGTATCATTTCTGTTTAGAAACACCATCACAGCACTCAAATTTGTATACCTTTCTTCTTCATAATCATCATTAGTACTTTTGATATTCTCATGATACATTTTGGCAGCCTCATCATACTTTTCTAGCCTGTACAATATTTGTGCCTTTAGTTCTTTACACCGCAAATCTAGCTCATCTTCACTTTTATTTAAGATCTTCAATGCATCAGCTGGTTTGTTTGCTCGATAATAACAGTATGCTTTCTCAAACAGAATATCCCTGAAAACCATCACAAATGAATACACATATATGGTAATAAATTTGGATGGGGTGTATAGTAGTGCATTTTGGGTAGTATTTGCCTGATAAGACAAGTAGATCCAATAAAAGTTTTAATTTAAATACTCACTTTAAATAGTGTGGGTTTCTATTGATTAGAGCAATAGCTTCATCAAACTTGGATAGTTGTATCAAACAAATAAGTTTACAGTGTAAGGCCAAAATCTCATCGGGAGAAACACCTAAAACTGATATTGAAAAAATTAACCATATGCTCTTCTAGCTAATGCAGCAGTGGTGTTACTTTTGTTGGCTACTTTCAACGCTCTTTCGTATTCTCCATTTTGACTGCAACGGTTCAATTCTGCGTAGTGACTATATGTTGGCCTCTGTTTTTCTCCCATTTTGGAATGTCAATCGATTCAAAAATACAGAAATTTCATTCAATCTAAAAAACAGCTATTCCCAAAATAATCTCGTCATGTCAACTTGTAATTTTCAACACCACGTCAACACGACGGACACGATCGACAGCGTTGCCGAACCGAAAAAGTCGAAACCGGTAGACGTTGAAATTTGACAGATTCAGGGAGGAAAAATCAGGGCCGTCACATTTTTGCTTTGCGCGCACAGAGGGCATGTGTTCCTGAAAAAATCTGAAGTCATGAATGTACAGTGACTACACAGTACACTAGTCGCTCTTCAATCTCCTATGCTATCACCAGTGAAGCTGCTTTTGCCACTCTTGTTTATAAGATTCTGAATACTTTTCTGTTCCACTCTCATCACCTAACATTTTAATTTAATATTCAATTAAATACAGACGAGCTTTGGTTTCCTTATTGCAGTGCAATGTTGCGATATTGACGGTGGTATACCGACAATAAATAATAAAGATATATCGTCGGTGTATCTACCAGTCTGTACCTGTTGTTCACAAAAACCAATATAGGGAAAGGGGAATAAGGGATGTACGAACAAAATTGTAGGCGACCCAAATATACGTCCCTCGTGTGCCTAACTTCCCCAGTGTACGCTTATGTATGATAGTAGTGGGCAAAAAGTATCTATCCGATACTTTCCGAAGTCAGAAGTATCCGATACTTTTTGATAAATATATCGAATACTGTAATAAATACTGACAATCTGACTATTTATACATACTGTAGTGTAGACAGAAAGTGACAGAACAATAATGTACGGTTATGGCCAAATAATTTTCAACAGCTGTGGATGTCCAAGTATCTGTCGTAATCGTCAAATACTCCGAATTTTTTAGTAAATTCTTTACTTTCTGAACAACTCCATCGTATGTTTGGGTCAACAAACTGTTGCTTAAAGTTTTTCTTGAAGGAAGTTTATAAGCAGGATCAAACCCTTCTAACAATTCTCTGAACCCTTTATCTTCAACAATTGTAAATGGCTGCATGTCTTTTATAATCATGTTTAAAACTTTTATATGCAGGTTCTTAGTACGCGGAATAGACATTGGCCGCGTAGCAAAAGTCGATATTTTAGATTATTTTGATGAGGGAAAAGGCATTCGTTTTTTGTCCTGATCAATTTTTTTTGTGGCGTCATAAGCCGAACTTCCTGGGGTGCCTTCCAAAGGTGTAGAAGAGGTTGATGGTCCGGGTATTTCCTCCAACTCCGCAGATGTTCTTAAAGACGAAGGAGACGGAAGATCTTGCGTTATTACCGCAAAATGCTTCACCTTCAAATGTTTCCTTATTGCAGGTTGCACCACCTTTATAGGATAAGACATTTTTGCAAATGTCACACTTTGCTTTATTTGAATCAATTGCATTGAAATACAACCAAACATCACTTCTTCTTTTATTACTCATATTTTATTATATTTTGAAAAAGAGAATATATTATATAATTCACTAAGCACTTCTAAACTTATGTAAATATGTAAGCTATACTATTTGATATGACATAACCCAGCAGTTCTTCTGAACGCAACGTCGAGGCCGACACGTGGGATTCCCAGAACTCGTTAAGATAAGGATGTTGATGTCTACCTTCACGTTTATGTAGATGTCGATATTTGATATAGATTCGGTCTCAGGTATTGGGAACCGAAAGGATAAAAAACTAAGGCAGTCTTACGAGATTGGTAATTTGAATACGATTTTTGGGTTGTTGCACGTTCCGGTTGTCAATTGAATATAGGCGAACTTTTGGGAATTAAAGTGTTTCTTTTGATTTCTAACACTTAACTGAAGCAAAAGGTTGAAATTAATTTCAGGTTACAAAAGCCCAGAATTTATATTTTTTTTTTTAACCAATATTGTAACAATAACAAATATAGCAATGTAATTTAAAATTCAGCGTATCGCTCATCACTACTCATCAGTCATTTCTAATTTCTAGTCTATACTAGATGATACCTACTTATAGGAGACCGAGACCGCATAATAACAGTAAACAAACAGTAAGCAATAAATTCGAAGGTCGGGGCGTGGATCAGCGACATAAAGACACGAACAGGATTATTATTATTTATTATTATTTTACATCACACTAGCAGTGTTAAATTAACGGATACTAACGGCAATTAATCGAGGCGATATTTGGTATTGGTATTGCATACTCAGTATGGGATACTTACAGATCAAGTATCGGTATCTATTCGATACTTGCAAAAGTATTGATTACCCACCACTTGACTGATATCGTGCTATCACAAAATATACGCTTCGGCACCTTTTTGGCGGTAAAGGAAAAATGGCAGCTTGACAACGGTGACGTTGAAGAAGGATGTATGAAAGACAAGTGATACTATCAATATTGACAGTGTTGTCGGCCGTTTTTGCACTGCAAAAAACGTTGCCAGATTTCCTGTATTGCGCCTTGTCAGGCTTCAGTTGACCCCACATGACGATACAAGACGAGACAGGGATCTAAATTTAAACAGTTTTCTGTAGCAAGAATTAGAGAGATCCTAGTCAAAATTAGCCGTTGCTAGATGGCGCGGTAGAATTTACTGACTGACGTATAAATGTGAACTGCAATGCTTATTATACACAAAGGCCTTAAAGGCCGAAAGGCAAAGAAATTTCTAGTAGATCATTGCTTTTGTTGTATCAGTTATATTTTGTATTTCTGTGTGTAAGCTTTTAATTAAGGCGACATCTTATGGTCATTTCCTAAACTATAATTTACTACTGTTATATAGGGACTTTCACCATTCTTAATTTTGACGTTGGCAAAACCGATGTGGAATGTCAGTTCAATTTGAATTTTGGGTAACTACAAGAAAAAACAGCTACTTACACAATAGCGCAATTTTGTAGCATTTACACATTTACAACTTCAAATTTTATTAGGGGTGAGACAATTTCTTTATTTGTAGCTGCGACTATACGTTTGAATTGGACATCTTTAGGCAAAAAATGGAGAAGGCTGGAAATGGGCAAAGCAAATACTGTCTAGATCATTATATTGCTCAATAATTCTACTTACAGCGGAAATCAGTGACAGCCACCTGGTCTGTGATGAATGCAATAATTTGTGGGGTTTGATGTTAAAAAATGTTTGAAATTCCGAAAATCTTTTAAAACTGCGATGCATATAATTGTATATACGCTTCTTACCAACTTTTCTGCATCGTCCGGTAATTTTTCGCAAGCAGAAGAGGCACAAAGCGCTAAAGAGTGGCATATACACTTCATGAAACATAAATCCGGTATATCGTTAGTTTAAAGAGTTTTAAGCGAATGCTGTGCTCCCATCATAGCATTTGCCCCATCCGCTGCAAATCCTACTAAATTATCTTTGTATGGTATTTTATTTTCGAAAAAAAACTTATAATGACGTTGTATAAATTTTGGGCTGAAGCGTCTTTAACTAAAATAAGGCCGATAAAATGATCCTTTATATTAAAATTTTTATTGTACCGGACAACAATTGCTAAATGTTTTCCGGACGTGAAATCTGTCGATTCGTCAACTAATAATGAAAATTTATGGCAATTTAAGTCACTAATAAGATTTTCAAAACTTATTTTCCCTAATACATTGTTTATGATTGCCGACATTTAGTTCGGCCTACAGACATTTTTCGCTTGGCTACTCTCCATTCCAGACAAACAAATAGATTTTATAAGTTCGCTAAGATGATCTGGCACATTTATTGCGATATTATGCTCTGCAATAAAAGCTGCAATTTTAATTTCATTTTGCTTTACTGTATTATCAGAAGAAATTTCATATACTTTTTTTGACCAAGTTGGCTGCTTAACCATAATAGTTAAATTTTTTTAAACTTCCACAGGAACTTGGTGCACCCAGTTCTTAAATTTTCATGCTGCTCCCACTCAGCCTTGTATTTTTGGGAATATATTTTTTTCTTTTGAGGTTGGTTGATCTTCTGGATCTTACTGGATACTGAATTATCAGAATCAGAAGTGGAGTCTAATTCATTTGTTGTACTCGGTCTCGTTTCCTCTGATTCTTCTTGAACTGAAGTAGACGGTTTGCTTGGACCTGGTTGTGGAGATAATGGCCGAACTGCATCATCTTTTTTCTTAATTATCAAACATTTTTTCATTAATTTAGTATCTGATGGCCTGAAAAACAAAAAAAGATTTTAGCCTTTATTACAAAATAATTTTTGCCTCAATTAGGTATTAGCATATTTTTATTGTTAACGTTGTCTCATCAAATATTTTGTAAAATAAATTGTTTTAAAGAAAAAAAATCAAATATGTACACTCTGTTCCAGTTTGCTTGTAATTGCACGGTATCTTGGATATTTTGAAAGATAGAATCGTACAGTTTCAGGAACCTGTGCCACTTTTTTGTGCTATATAAAAATTAATGGAGGGCATAAATACAAGGTGCCCACATTTTATATCATACTCATATTAATGTTAATATTCAAAGTGCAAATACAGGGTGTTCCATTAAAAAAAACTAAGTTAGGGTCATAGCTCTTGAACGACGCCTCTGATTTATTTTCGAGCACGCCACAGAATATGCAGAAGTATCTATCTAAAGCAGTTTTCGCCTTTTTTCTATCTTATACAGGGTGCGAGCTGACAGTGCCCTAAAAAGTGAAATTTTTCGTTTTCACCCTGTATTTCAGTGGCAAAACGAGATACCTTAAGGTTGATTCTCACTATACATTCCGTTTCCATTCCCTAACCGTTCCGTAAATTATTGAAATTAAATATTCGCCTTCGCTTAAAGTAGGCTATTGCGTGTGTATGCACATTATCCGTAAGGTATATTGTGTATACAATCAACTTGTACTGAACGTTTACGAAACTGATATGGAATGGAAACGGAATGTATAGTGAGAATTAACCTTTAATTCTGTTTGTAGCATTATTAGTTTAAACAGTTTTCTGCAGCAAGAATTAGTGAGATCCTAGTCAATACTTGCCGTTGCTAGATGGCGCGGTAGAATTTACTGACGGTTCCATACTAAATATGAATTGCAATGATTATTATACATAAAAGCCTCAAAGGCTGAAAGGCAAAGAAATTTCTAGTAGATGATTGCCTTTGTTGTTTCAGTTTTATTTTGTATTTCTGTGTGTAAGCTTTTATTTAAGGCGACATCTTATGGTCAATTCTTAAACTATAATTTACTGGGGTTATATAGGGACTTTCGCCATTCTTAGTATGGACGTTGGCAAAACTGATGTTGAATGTCAGTTCAATTTGATTTTGGGTAGTTACAAGAAAAAACAGCTACTTGCACAATAGCGCAATTTTGTAGCATTTATACTGTCGATTGTACCTGTACAACTTCAAATTCTATTATATATATATATATATATTCTAGGGGTGAGAAAATTTTTTTATTTGTAGCTGCGAATATACGTTTTAATTGGACATCTTTAGGCAAAAAATGGAGAAGGCTGAAAATTGGCAAAGCAAATACTGTGTAGAGTTTGAACAACGTCCTCAGCGGACTACTATTGGACTGTGCTCGCTTTTGGAGCAGCAGATGTTCGTGGATGTAGCCATTTGCTGCGGAGAGAGGGTTTTACACGTTCATAAAGTGGTTCTGGCTGCCAACAGTCCCTTGTTTAAGGTGAGTAGATATTTCTCACAAATACACATGATCATGACTGATGTATTTTTATAGGAAGAACTGGAGAAAAATTCATCTGTCGAGCATGTGGTGATCACAGGATGTGATTATACTGTGGTGAAATCCTTAGTGGAGTTCATGTACTGTGGATCAACTACTATAGCAGATGAACATCTCAAATATTTTGTTGCGGCAGCCAGGACATTACAAATGAAAACATTGGAAAATCTGACATTTGACTTCCCCTTACCTGGTAATTTATTTCATTAAGACATTCCAATTTTATTTTGTCTTATACAGCGTACATGAATAGTTTATTTCTCGGATGCAATTAGAATAACGCAAAAAGTGTCACAAGTCTTATGAAAAATTTCATATAGGGATCTCCTACGAAAATACAGACTCGCAAATTAAGACACTGGAGACTGTTTTTTTTATTTCACGTGGCTCATTTATGTCGCAAGGGAAAGACTACCGCAATATTGCTTATTTTTTAACACTCAATAGTAATGACTCAAGAGCGAAATTTCTTGAAAAATGTATCCCTGATGGACGCTTTTAAGATGAGTAGTTGCTTGGAGCTATTTATAAAAAATTGGAAACATTCTGAGAAAGCGGAAGTATCGGCGACATCAAAGAGTTTTTTGACTGCTACCAAAAACTTTTTTCAAAAATATAGCAGCGTTATCTACTATGACCATAACATATTCCTCCTCAAATTTCATTCAAATTGATTTAAGATGACGCAACGAATTCTAATACATTAGAAGGAGTCAAGCCTATATGTTTGTCGCCAAAATTAGGTACGTAGTTTTCGTGCATACTTTTGACTCACTTGACTACCAATGCCTCACAAAGTGACCGCATTGTACTAACACAATAATAATACTTACCGGTGGAAATATCTACCTTCAGCAGGCTGGTGCTGCTCTTTGCAAATTATCTAGGAATAAGTACCAAGTAACAGCAAAATATGAATTTAACGACAGAGATGTCAAAAAATTTACTTACGTCAAGTGCACTTGTAGTATACATACTACAGATTATGAAAATTAGTAGACAAAAAATCCTTGACTGGCTCCTTCGGCCTAGTCCGAATTCGGATGCAACATGCAGTGGAAAGATAGACCAAAATGAGCGATATAGATTTTCGTTCACATATTATATACATTACAAAATGATAAATATGATATTCAGGTTCTTGTAAGAGAACGTAAAGCTACTACTAAGCACTATACCAAGCGCGGATCCAGAGAGTGATGACTCCCTCTAGGGCAAATCTGACTACTTATACTTTTGAATCTGTTTAGTAAATTTAATATGCAAATATGTAAAGGATACAAACGGTTAAAAATTACCAGATTTTGGTGAAAAATCACCACACCTGGTAACCCTGATCAATTTGTAAGCACATCGATGCTTGCCTGGAAATAAGAGTGTGCGTAAGTCTGGTTGCCTATACGTTCTGCTCGACGCAAATATGAATAAAATACCGTTTCTGCATGTTTCGGCTTGGTATTTTTTATGTCCGTTAGTGCACCATAGCCTTATTTGTTCTGTGAATAAGGTAATTAATCGAAAATTTAGACATTCGGACAGGAATATAAGAAAAATCCTTTTCGCGCGCGCCTTTGACGCTGTGAGCAAACTTGATAAAAACACATTTTGATGGACAAAATCAGAGAAAAGCAGTCTCATCTGATTGAAAGGAGATGATAAGAAGTAAGCAACAAGTTATCTAACTGTAAGAATGATCAAATCTCGCACTCTTCATCTATCAGCTCATAAGCTTATGCATTACTTCCTACTTTTGACTGAATTTATTTGTTTCTCAGTATGATAATATTGTCTTAGTTTTATCATTAACATGGCGTTTCCCAAATATGGGGCAAGTATTTAATGTGTGACCCTTGGGTCTATTCTGAAACTATTATATTTGATCCTCTCGATTTGCGAAACACTTCTTGATTCCGGAAAAATAGGACAATAAAGGAAACGTCGTTGGAAATATGTTTTCTTATATATATATGACTTTGAAGTTGAGTCATTAATTTTCAGATAATGATTGTAGAAGGAAGATAAACCAAAATATGTGTGTAAAAATAAAAAAAAATTAAAAAAATGTTTTACCTTGTTTTATAAAGTATCCTCTCGACAAGTATTTCAGTGCGGACCTGTATTTGATCGTGAGGTCCCCTGTGAGGTCTTAAGTCACCTGATTCACGAGCCCGTTGTACTAGATTAACAAAGGCACGAGGGGTTGGTTGCACTCGATTGGGAAACCGATCCGCATAAGCATGTGCCATTTTTTATTTCGTTTGAGCCACGCAACAGACACGACTATTCACTCATGCGTTACCGACTGGCACTGACTGTATGTATACAACTGAATAAAATAATTGTAAAAACATCGTTCCAAATTCTTTCGCTTTTTTGTTTCCGATGCGATGAACCGATAAGGCGGATTATATCCGTTGTTGCCAAACACGAGCACATGATATTATTATTGAGACAGGGCGGTACTCAAACTTCCAAAGGGCTATAACTTTGTTACTTTAATTTTACCAGAAAAATGGTGAAGGAAAAAAACATTTCTTTTGATCAGTGATCACTGTTAAAATAAATGACTCAACTTCGAAGTCACCCTGTATATATATATATATATAGGGTAAGATTGCCCATATTGAACCACTTTTCCTTTAAATAATAAATCCAGTTGATCTAGAGTATACTTTGGATATTTGAGAACACATAGGTATGTATAAATACTATTTAAAATAATGAACTACTTATATGACTAATTAAAAACAAAACAATTGCAAATGGTTCATTTTGGGAAACGTGTTGCCCATATTGAACCCCAGGTATCCTAAATTGAACCTACACATTATTTACAAAGATTAAGCAGTAGCAACAAAATAAAAAATAACTTCATGCTAAATAAACAAAACCTTTATTTTTATAAAAACATCATACACGAAAGTATCATAGAATAATGTAACGAAAACGGTAATTTAATTTTTTTGCTCTTAAAGCCAAATTCGACTTTTGAATGATTTCCTATATTTCTACTATTCCAATAGGATTGCAAAACTACCCAATACAAGAAGTACAAAAAAATATTTTCGTTCTGGCACCTACACCTACACAATGGCAGTGGAACCATGCTTTGAACCATATGCATTGGATCATATCACTGTATTCTGCCGTTTCACATTCTGTACAAAACCACTTTTGCGAATCCTTCTTGATTTCATTTAAGCCCTTCAAAGGTACTTTTCTCTTCAAAGGTACTTTTGTCTTCTTACGTCTCTGCTTTTCTATGCTGTCATTAAGATAGTCCTTATAAAGGCGGCTTGTAATTTCAACCGCCTTTTGAATACCTCTACTTTTTTTATTTGACTCAACCTTCTTTGGTTTCGGCAAAGGAGCGACTTCATCCAAACTAGCGACAGACAGATGTTGATGTGCTTAGTAACTTATCTAACGCCATTTCTGTATTATCCACTACAGATGTAGAGCAGGCACTTGGTACAACCTGTTGAATTTTTAGTATGGATAGAGGGATGTCGCCATCAGCACTACTTTCCTAATTTCCAAGTCTAGAAGCTTCACTTGTCGGATTTACACTAGGTCTAAGCACTTCAGATGCTACGAAATGGGAGTAATTGAACACATGCCTATTAACAGGCCAAACACCAGATGATCTAAGCGCATTTATTGCAGTCTCAATGGTCGCTGCTTTTCCATATGCTGCATTTAGTAGCTCTGCCACTTGATATTGCGTAACTGCGCGTTCAGGATTACTCCTGAACCATCTCTCTGAAGCTTGTGTATAGTTTGTCTCCAATGGTTTAAAAAAAGCCTTATCTAAAGGTTGTAAACGGTGCGTCGTATGTCCAGGCAATTGCAGCAAAACCACTCCATTCTCCCTTGCTAAAAGAAGAGCTGCAAGGTTTTTACAATGAGTCGTGTGACCATCCAAAATAAGTAACACTTTATTTTCTTTTGTAGGACGAACACTGTCCATAAAATGTTGCAACCACTTGACAAAGAGTTCGCTAGTGATGTATCCAGAATCAGATATCTCGATTTTACTGCCAAGTGGAGCGCCATTGCTCAATTCTGCAGTATACCCTTTCCTTTTAAAAATAATAAGTGGGGGTACGTAAAACCCAGCTAGCTGCACTTACACAACAAACTATGGTTGTGTTGACGCCCCACTCCCCACTAGCGATTGATCTGACAGGTTTTGAACCTTTCCTTGCCACAATTTTCTGACATTTCTTAGCTACAGTCGAGAAACAAGACTCGTCCACATTAAAGATGGTGGTAGCATTGATTTTGTATTTACCATATATTCCTTAGAGTAAATCAAAAAAATGCATAACATTTTCCCTGTTAAATCCTTTTATCCTATTAATTGAAGTAGACTCAGGCTGACGCAGCGATAATTGTGGGTGCCTCTTCATAAAACGGTAGTACCATTTCTTTCCTGCTATTCTGACCTCTCTATTGAACTGGTGAGGAAGCCCATTTTTTTCAGCTAAATCGAATGCAAGTTTTCTGATATCACGAATTGTCAATCCGAACAAGCAGTTTGCAAACTGTGTTATGCGCTCACAAAGTAGTGTAGATTTGGAAATACCATAATCTCGGCTGCATTCGTTTACTCCTTTTTCACCATTATTGTATGCTGTTAAAACTTTTTCCATATCATCTGCTGACCATGTTCCATAATTTCCACGTTTTGCCATCTAAAAATAAATAATAAGTAAGTATTTCACGCAAATACCAGAAATCTATCCACTACAGCAGTCTAAAACACAATAAGCAATTTGGAGGACGTATAGTTGCCTAAATTGAACCCCAGTTCGATTTTGGACACTGTTAATGGTTCAATACTGGCAGCCAGCATAACATTTAAAACATAACCTCAAACTAAAAATTAAAATGGTTGTAAAATATGTCAATTACTCTAAAAGATACCTTAATTGACATGTTATTTACTACTATTATCAAAGTTGCTCTCACCTTGCTTGGAAGTTTTCGGTTACCTTAGGGAAGGGTACCAGAAATTACTTTCGAGTGACAGTTAAACATGTTAGCACAGCACTGCCACCTGTTCCCATAAAATCAAGGATCTTTCTCGCGGAACAATCTTAACTATGGATGGTGATTTAATATTCGATTCTTATATTGCGCTAGCTTTATACAGATTAGAAAAATCGCATGGGTTCAATTTAGGAGCAGGTTCAATATGGGCAACCTTACCCTATATACAGGGTTATCCAAATTAAGTGTCCACCATTAGTAACTTTGTTATTAGTGAAAATACAAAGTTGTTTGAATTAGCAAACTAGTAGCATTTTTAACGCTGGTAAAAATGAGAAATAAAAAAAAACAATTGTGAGTCGTTATTTTGATTTTTTTCAGTAAAATAACATTTTTTTAAATGGAAACCCCTGTATATTATATTTTTTTCTGTTAAAGCATCAAATTTTAAACAAAAAAGCTTACAATAACTTTTCTCCTAGGTTACAAATTGTTGAAGTTATGGCCTCCAATCTGAAACAATTAAATTGTATCGACAAACTTTATTTTCAACATCAACTTATAATCTTACAAAATACAATAACAATTTTTTTTAAAGAAGATGCTCGAAAACACCACCTTGTTCTTCAATACATTTTTGGGCACGTTTTTCAACTGCTCGAACTGTCTTAAGTATGGTCCTACCATCTATCTGGGTTATCTTTTCCCTAACTGCAGTCTTTAACGCGTCAAGGTTATCGTACCTTCGCTTGTAAATTTGGTTCTTTAAGTAACCCCACAAGAAGTAATCAAGTGGGTTTAGATCTGGTGATCTGGGAGGCCACTGTATTGGGCCATTTGTTCCTATCCACTGATCATTAAAAGTAGTACTTAGAAAATGATAAGTACCTCTGGAGTTGTGGGCAGGTGCGCCATCTTGCTGAAAATGCGGATGATGTCTACTTATAAGATCCAATTCGTCTAAGAAATTAGTCAGAATTTCTGACATAAATTCCACATATCTTTCACCAGTTAGGGTTCCCTCATAAAAGAACGGGCCAACAATTTTTGAACCAATTATACCGCACCAAACGTTGAAACTGAAACGGACTTGTGGGCCTCTTGGATGTACTAACAAAAGATTTTCTCTTGACCAATAATGGTGGTTTTTTCTATTAAACATTCCAGAATTTGAAAAATTTGATTCATCTGTCCATAAAAGGTAACGAAAGTTATTTACATTTTGGCGACAGAAGCTAAGATACCAATGGCAAAAAACAAGTCTTCTCTCTGGATCCCCTGCCAAAAGCGTTTGAACTGGTCGGTACTTATACGGAATAAATTTGTATTTTTTTAAAATCCTTTGAACAGTACCATAACTGAAATTAGAGTCCTTGAGAATATCTGCTATTGAATTCTCACGATAAGCTTCAAAATATCCAATAACTGCAATTTCCGTGGCCTCGCTTATTATGAATTCTTTTTTTGCCCTTGTTTTAGCAAAAACATTTTCGTTGCCCCTAAATTTTCGATAAAGTCTCAGAAAATATCGTTCATACGGTTGAATGCGAGCGGGATATAATTCACTGTAGTATTCTCTTGCTCTCAAGGAGGATTTTCTGCACACTAAATAGCATTCTAACATATCACACTTTTCTTCATGGGAGAACATTTTTCTTTAAATTAATGACACAATAAAGCTTATAAACAAGTATTTACACTAATGTTTGACATTATTTGATTTTATCATTGTTTTCCAAAGCCTTCTAGTTTCGAGTATGTCCAGTTTAACAATTTGTCGCTTATCTTAATGCTGTCAAATCGCGAACGCCATGTTGTTTTCATAGCCGTCTTAATATTATAATACTGCAAATAATTAAAAATATTTATCGTTATTTTGACTTTATTTATGACTTTAGCGGAAAAGTCATTATGAACTTTTTTGTTTAAAATTTGATGCTTTAACAGAAAAAAATATAATATACAGGGTTTCCATTTAAAAAAATGTTATTTTACTGAAAAAATCAAAATAACGACTCTCAATTGTTTTTTTTTATTTCTCATTTTTACCAGCGTTAAAAATGCTACTAGTTTGCTAATTCAAACAACTTTGTATTTTCACTAATAACAAAGTTACTAATGGTGGACACTTAATTTGGATAACCCTGTATATATATATATATATATATCGCCGCTTAAGTTTTAACATCGAGTAACTCAAAAAATGGCGATATCATGCGTGTCATGTCAAATTTTGGTCTTTTAAAAACTTGTCAGTTTTGAGCTACGCTGTGTGAGAACATAAGTGACGATCCAACTAAAACTATTAACTCATTTAGTTCGCCAGAGACGGACTAGCCATAAACGCAATATATTGCTAATTTTTTTACACCTTTGTATAATAATGCCTACAAAATAGTAATTTTGGAAATTATAACCTACTGTTCCATCTACATCATTGTAATACTACCTGCGGTTGTTTCAAGAATTTGAATTCTGATATCATCCACCGTTTTGTTTAATATTCGTGGTTTTCAGGTCGCTGATGACGGATCAATTATCAAATTTTCAATACGAGTGAACCAGTAACGGTTCCATAATTTAGAAAACTGTACCAAAAGTAATAAGGCTGTTGTACTTCAAAACCCCAGAAGGGCTCAGTGAATAAGACACACCCCTTCCCCTCCGGAGATAAAAATTCTCCTGAACATGAATCCTGTGACCCCCTGACATAAATTCTGGTCCCTTGCGCTATATAAACCAATATTCCTGTCAGCCATTCTTTCTTATAAGTCGATTATCGTCCTTCAAATGTCGCCTTTTACGTTTGCTTTTTCTTTTTCAGCCGAGAAGATAGTGATTCCCAAGCCCCAGTTTCTCTCCAAAAAGCCCGAATACCCTGCGCCAGCTTCGTCCAGCAATCTGTACAATCCCTACAAAGACAATAGAAAGCTCCTTATAGAAGCTGAACACCGGGCATGTGTTAAGGAAGCCGAGGCTAGTAGATCGGCTATTGCTAACCTGACAAAAGAGATGGTATCTGCCCAACATGCTAATTCTTTCATCATTGAAGAAACTTGCTCAGAGACCACAGTTGAGAATTTCATCCCGCATCCTACAGTAGGATTTGGTGCTGGTCAAGTGTTTTTGCCCACTGACCCAAAAGTGTCCAACAATGTCATTCAGTCGACCATACCCAGTAGCTCTGAAGAACTTACTGCTGATCTATTGGGAAATGAAGCCCACTCTAGTGTGAAGATACTGTTCAAGACCAGTGATGGAAGCTTCGTCACTGTTAGTGACGAAGTTCTCCAGAATCTTCAGAAGGATGATATGCAATATCAAGTGATAGACGAAGTTGAAAAATTAGGCGACGTTCAGGATTTGCAACTGACAAAGGATATGACCAATGCGGCAGCTGGAGATATACCACTTTTTCCGGAAACTTTTGATCTATTCGGCAATGCTCAAACAGACTCGGCAAATATCACCAATGAACCACGTGAAGTAGTGGATAACGCTGGTGCTTTGATCGACCCGGAAAACGTAGGGATACCTTCACTGGACACTGAAGGGTTGAATGAGAGCTATCCAGTCGAAAAGCATAAACGAAGCATGCCTAGTTTGGACTTTTCTCCTGATATGTTTTTCGCTGACTGATAACAAGAGGATTTGTTTGGAAGAGGACACCTCGAAGCAGTGACATGTTGTTTGGTTTTTAGTTTTTTGCAGGGATAATTTGTAGTCATTATTATATTTTGAATACTTACGCTGAGAAGCAGCCAGATCATTGCAAGGTTGAAATGCAAATGATGGATAATAAAGGAAGCATTCCTTCTACCGCCATTACTGATCAGATGGAAGATACAAGTTTGGACTTTTCTCCTGATATGTTTTTTGCTGACTGATAACAAGAGGATTTGTTTGGAAGAGGATACCTCGAAGCAGTGACATGTTGTTTGGTTTTTAGTTTTTTGCAGGGATAAATTGTGTTCATTATTTGTTTCAATAAAAACAATTTCATGATTACAGTTATTGTGTTTCGGACTCCTTTGCCCGACCCTTTTCAAGTACAATGACAATTAATTCAGGAGTTACCTTAGTAGTTTCCTTTCGAATTAGATCAGTCAAATCATTGTGGAAATTACATACGCAAATTTGCTGAATTTCAAAAATGAGAAAGAAAAGAAAAGAAAATCCCTGGTTGGTGAAGTAACAGGTGAGAAAATATGCTACAGACAGTAATATTTATGAAAGTGAAAGGGTTATTTACTACATTATTTTTTATTTCCAGTTCAGTCTAGAAATTTATTTTGCGATGTCAATAGAAAATACAAATCATCGTCTAGATGTGAGACACTGCGCAAATGTTTGAAGTATGATGCGTCATTCCTAATTTTACTGTGATGTGGCTTAATTGCACACAACGCGGGCGCAGTGGCGATTTCCCATAATCAAAGTTTTTGATAACACAAAAAAAAACGGGAGCTATCGTAATTTATAACTTTGAATATAACCCGTACACACAAAGGACAACATATAAATAACTCGTCGGGCACAGCTAATAATACTCCATGTAGACCAATACACAAAATCATCCAGATGTGATCTTGCTACTCAACCAACTTTCATTCTTTCACATCCTCTCAGACTACAGACTACTCGGATTTACAAAACATACGAGTATACTAGCTTTCTGCAACCAACAATGCGCGTAGCTGAGTAATTCCTCCATAGATCAACGCTTACAAAACTACCTAGTCTGCAAGATGACATTTCGATGTTTTTTTGACATTTTATAGGGTTTTTACATAATAGCCGTGGTGTAGGACGAACTATGTAAGGAATAAATCGTCATCTTCATGAACTTCTTGGGTTCAAGCCAAACAGATGGCGTCAAATAGGTTAACTCTCCACTTCCCACGCAACGCCCTTATCAGTACGTAGAGGAATATGTTCAGCACAAACTAGACTTTCTGAGGAAAAAGTGAGTCAAGCAGGTCTATACAATTAGTCCATACATATTTTTAACTGAGCGATTTTAATCGATTTCGTTTTAGGCCTCTTTCTTCGGCCCCACTGAACGGATTCTGAAGGTAACTACAAAGCTTTTGCATAGTAGTGAGATTGTGTAATTGCATCGAAATCCGAGCGGCATTTCTCAAGTTATAGGCGGTTATAAGATTAGAGGACAGACCGACATGGTTTTTCATTACGTGTATGTCATATAACATCCAAAAAACCATATTTTCGAAATTTTGCGCGATTACAATACAACCTTACCAGTAGGCGTGGGATGTAAAAAGCTCTTCGAGATAAAAAGTAGTTAAATTGTCCCAGGACTTTTATGAGCCAACTATGTCTATCGATTTTAAAACACTAAAATTGCCTTGAGTATGGATGTTATTGTTAATAAATTTTGTGAAAAAAACAGTGTCAAGTAAACTGAAATGGTACTTTCTACGCTTACACATGGCCTATTTTCGAATATTCCGTACCTGCAGACTGAAAATTAAAAATTATTTTTATATGTACGTCAAACATGAGCCTTGCTAAAAATTAGTTTTTGTAGGACCCAGGGTCGTAGCAACCGCCATATCAGCCGCATCAATGCCCCAGGGGCCCCGGATTACAGGGGCTCGACTGTGTAAGAAGAAATTCGTAAAGTCTCATTCACCACCTCATACATTTTTTAAGTGGCACGCCATACTATAAATTATCAATAACTGAAGCCTTAGATCAGGGTTTCCCAACCTTTTTTTGTTGAAGCTCCCCAGACTATAAATTATATTTTCATGCCCTCCATTACCTTTTCAATAAATACAAAAAAAATGCAGATTATATAGATACAAAGACTTTTATTTTAATTCTAATAAAGAAACTTTAAAAGTTTAAATAAACTAATAAATGTTTTTTATCGAAAAACTTGAATAAAATGGTAGATTCTAGGTTCTGTTTTTGCAGAGCTATCATCAGGTCGCTATCGATATCAAGACGATTTCGCTGTTTAGCTTTAGTTGCAACTAGAGCAGAAAAGCCTGTCTCACATAAGTGAATTGAAGAAAAGGCAACTAGTATTCGTAAAACAAGAGAGGCAAGTGTCGAATTAACAGGCAATCTTTTGATCCAAATTTTCTCCAATGTTAAAATGGAAGTCATCTTTCATGGACGAATCAACGTTCATTTCTAGAAATTCTTCCTGAACTTCTTCTGGTAATTGTGACTCTGAATTTATCTCTCGATACTATCGGTGAAACTCGTCTTTCAGCGCTTGCAAATGAGTTTTTATGTAAGCTTGTAAATTTTCGTCCAGTATGTTATTTTTAATTGCCTAGAACAGCCGAGAAAAAGATATAACATTTTCAGAAGACAATTTTTGATTTCAAAGTTCAAGCTTTGAATATAATCATAATTGCTTATTATAGTGTTGTTTCTGCCTTGAAGTTTCAAGTTTAGCTCATTCAAGGAGTCAAATATGTCAGTTAAATAAGCCAACCTCCATTGAAATGTGTCATCTTTGAACACTGTCAAAAAAACGTGTTTTTCTTTGAACTCACGAAAAAGAATCACCATTTCTTTCAATTCATAAATGCGAGCCAACATGTTGCATTTGGACAGCCATACTTGTGTATGGAACAGAAGAGCTTTGTGATCAGAATCGAGATCGTCGCAATGTCAAATAAATAACCGACTGTTAAAAGCGCTGCTCTTAATGTAGTTCACAATCCTTATCGCCGAGTCCAAAATCTGGCGTAATTTCTGTGGCCATGTTTTAGGAGCCAAAGCTTGCCGATGAATAACACAATGTGTACTAAGCATTGCGGGATTTTTTTCCTTGAGCTTTTTAGCTAAGCCCAATGGTACACCTATTATTGCAGCTACGCCATCTGTGCAAAGTCCAATGAGTTTATTCCAATCCAAATCATTTTTTTCAACAAAATTTGATATTGAATTAAATATATCTTCAGATATAGTACCTGCTGTACAAAACCTCTTCTTGAATGATATCTCCGCCGATGTAATGAACATAAACTATTATCTGTGTACAATTAACGATGTCGCTGGATTAATCGCAACTAATGGCAATAATTTTACTTTGTTAATTATTTGTGACTTTATGTCTGCTGCAATGTCATCGATTCTACGCTTGACTGTGTTATTCAAAAGAGAAATAGACTTCATTTTTTGCTCTGCATCTTCTCCTAAAATTATCTACGTGGCTTTTAGGACAAATGGTTTTATTAATTCTTCACCGATAGCATGAGGTTTCTTTTGCTTGGCTATCATAAAAGCTATTTCAAATGAAGCTTTGAGATGCTGCGATACACCCATGTGATAGCTTCCCGACTTATCCAGTCTCATCCGCTTGAGTGATTCTGCTTTAGAAGAAAAAAACTCTTTCGTCTTCAAAACCAGAGTAGGATGTTGTTGCTTCAAATGCCTTTCAAGGCGATTGGGTCTCATGCTATTATTACTTAAAACTTTCATACATACACTTTGTGCTGTTATGCAAAATGCAAAGAAATGAATGTAGACTGTAGTGATCTGCGGGTTAAAGGCTATTTAAATCTTGTCATACTAATATTTTAATTTTTTTGATATACTTTTTTGCTTAAAAGGATACATTTCTATATTTTTTCACTGTATTTTTATTTTTTGTTTGTTTGCTACAAGCCTTCAAAAAATCACTAGAAATATAACAATTAACAAAAGTTTTAACTAAATCACGAGATCTAGTGAAATTGCACTAGACTTGGCAACATTGAATGCAAATGAAGATTGGAAAACTGGCGATTTTCCAGCTCAGCGGACAATTTTGCTATATCTGCTATTTTGCTAGAATGTCATATAAAAAAGAGGCTTTGAATTTAACATTGAGCGATTCCAATGGAGATAAATATAAAATTTGAGGCGTAGTAATGTTAATGTCTCTGAACGCTTTTATAAATGCTCAATTTTATAGGATAAAATATTTTTTTAATACGGGAAAAAACTATTTTTTTATTATATAAATATATTTATTAAGTACTTGATCTAAAATTATATGATCATTAATACTACTATTTAGTAGGGGAATATGGATTTTTAGTGACTGAATTCGCACTTGGGCGAGGAAAACCTCAACCGTCACTGCTAAGATTAATTGCATCAGCTGAAGAAAAATCAAGTCGTCCCATAATTCTGGCTTCAGTTGTACAATCGAAAATAGCCAGCATGCCACAGTTATTAACCTAAAAAAATAGCATTGAAGTAACAGTTTATCCGAGGGTCATTTTTTAAGTAAGACCCGTTTTGTAATCCAGTCAGAGAAATTTTATTTATGAATGTAAGTTGTATCACAAACATAAATATGAACATTTTTTAATTTTTCAACATAGCCACCATAAACATTCAAACACAAGTCAATCCGTTGCACCTTTTTGTGTTAATGTAGCTTCTGAAACTTATCGTGCTGTTTCCATGACGGCTATTTCCCTCGTCTTAATCCCTACCAATCACAAAAGCGGAATTTTGAATTACAAATGGTTTCTAGATGGAAAAATTGTATGACTACCTGCATTATTTTTCCAGTTTACCCGCGGCAAGTCTTGTCAGCTGTTGTCACCAAAAATTACAATACCTCTGATAATAAGTAATTATGACCTCCTAGGCTAGGGTAAAGTTTTTAATACTGTTTTTAACATTGCTAGTCAGCTTATGTAGTGAAAATGAGTCGCTTTGGAAATGATTCTTTGACTAATATTGATCTGGCGATTGAGATATACCTCAGTATATGACTTTCGACAACTGTCGGCGCAGCAGAATTTCTACGCGTTCACATCTCCGTGCAGAGCTCTATTCGGTTTAGTTACTTCTTTTCAGTAGTGGTGTTCAGTATAGGGTTCTCGATTGTGTCTCAGTGGTGCCTTGGTGTTGTGACGTGGGTGTTAAGTGTCTCCAAAGTGGAAATTAGGTCTACTTCCAACTCGTCTGAGGGAAACAGGATATCTGTGCAGGAAAATATAGGTGAGCCTTGCATACTCATCTACTTGTGGGTTAGGGTTGACATCCTATGTTTTTTAAATAAATAATAAATTGCGCACATTGCATACACTGAGAAGTTAGTCATATACTAAGGTATTTGGGAAAAACCAAAATTTGGCCAGATCGTTTTTATTTTTGTCTGACTTTTATTTTAAGAAATGTCAAAAAACTAATGGCACTACATGATGGTGTTTTTTAAAAAGTGCTACACTGTATCTAATAACAGCTTTTTCTAGGACTTCAACGATGTATCACGTAACATTTGTTTTTTAGTTCTAAACAAAGGGGTTTTTTTCTACTTTTTCATTATAATTAAGTAGGCGTTGCAAACAAATGCTTGATGTAAGATTGTGTGATTACTGAGTTTAACCTAGTCTGATCCTTATCTTGACCACCCCTAATCGAACATACTTGTAAGTATTCTTATGTACTTACATTCATTTCTGAAAAATCTCAAAACTATTAGCAAGGTCCAAGGAATTGGTGATAGATAGCAGAGGTAGCAAAATCGTCCGATGAGCTGGCAACGCCGCAATCCAGGTGACAAGATTAACTTTCAACGTATGTCTATCCCGGGGTAATGACGGAGTCATTTAGAACGTAAATGCGGCAGTTTTTCAATCTTCATTTGCCTATTTTTAAGTATTGTGCAACGATTTCGAGAAAAATTATGTAGGGATAGTCTAGTAGAGTATATTTCAATAGTTGTCTTGCGTGGCCAAGTTATTTTTACTCGGACCAACCTACCTTCCAAACATCCAGACACAAATAAAAGAGGTTAACTAAAAATTACAGCAATTAACCGTCATACTTGTCAAAGTTGCCATTTTTTCTGGATCAAAACAGTATTGTCAGGTTGTTTCGGCAACACCGCACTGTTTCCCATTCTCCCATATGTGTTGACTCCCCATGGAGTATAATTTCGACAAAACACCTGGTTTAGTTTTTATCCGCACCTACCTCAGTTTGTGCACAATCTGGCAACCATGTTGCATCCAGAAAAAAATGGGTGCTTGCCAGTGACATAAGTCAATCGTGTTCAGACTGTTCAGTGTATTATGTTTTGTGCTTGCCAATCCGTCATACGTCAACGACCAACGACAATTGTGAACGTCAACTAACTTGGGATATTTACATCTACATTCCATGATGGCAATATTTGTGAAATTTTCGTAAAGGTGATAAACTAATATATTTTTGAAATGATAATGTCCTCGGCAAACATGTCTCAAAATAATTCATACTCAAACGATCGTGGTTTTGATGCAGATTATGTAGTAGATCCAGCATCTGGAGGCTTCTTTCATGCAGACTTCAAAAGGTGAATTGTCAGCAGATTTTTGCTGTATGTTTTTCAATAAATTTTCTGTTTTAGGCACGATGATCTCAAGGAAATGCTGGACTCAAATAAAGATAACTTAAAGCTAGAAGCTATGAAAAGAATCATAGGGGTAAATACATCAATTCCAATAAATTGTAAGTGCTATTTTAATAAACATTATACTGGCTTCTAGATGATAGCTAAAGGAAGAGATGCATCTATGCTATTCCCAGCAGTTGTGAAAAATGTCGTCTCAAAGAATATTGAAGTGAAAAAGTTAGTATATGTCTACCTGGAAAGATATGCTGAAGAACAGCAAGACTTGGCTCTCTTATCTATATCAACTTTCCAACGAGCTCTGAAGGTGAGATAATAAAATGGCTTACTAAACTAAGATGAATCTAACACTCATTATTGTATTATATATGTAGTTGTTTGCAAATTGCCTAACAAGCAGTTCCTATTCTGGTAAAGGTAAATGTCAAGAATTTTCATAGAAGTGACAAGTTTTAAGATGCGATTCCACCAGTGTGCTGAACTGTGCGGCACTCTAATGCACAGTGTACAGCACAAATGTTTCTTCTGGTCGACTCATTCACGCAAACAATAGCAAATGGTGCGGAAACATTCGCGAACATCATTTACTTTTGTGCGCGCGCACATGCAAGCAGTGGACTCGCGTCGGCGGGTACATACTTGTTGTTCGCGAACTCAGTATTGCTCCCGCTCCTGGAGTGAAAACATTTGTTTGTACGCGCACTTCTTTTACGAAATTGAAAATGGACTGGACGAATGATAGGATTATAAAATTTATTCAAGCAATTGAAAATTATCCTCTTCTATGGGATTCCAGTCACACTGATTATAAAAACAGAAACAAAAAAACACTCAAGAGTTGGCTCAAAGTTTCAATTGTGACTCGACTGAGGTAATGAGAAAATGGAAGATTATTTTGGCTCGGTACCGAAGAGAAAAGAAGAAAATAGCGAATTCAAAATCTTCAGGTGCTGGGTTTTCAGATTTATTATTTGTTATTTTATATTGTTATCACAACTGCAGTTTTTAACGCCAAGATCCGTTTCAAGATGTAATGTTACTTTCTTTTGCTGTTGTGCTAACACAAATTTGATTTTGAAATCACCTGAAAGGGTTATGTGTTTGAATTATAGTAGTATTTGTAAGTTTTGTGACATATTTTTATGTTCTATTTCGGAGCTAAAAGGAACTCAAAACCTTCACACGATATACGAGTAAAATTTTTAAATCCACTTCTACAAATCTATTCATTTCTTCATTCCATCACTGCAGAAAAGGCCTCACCCAACATCGTGGTTTTCTTCTTCGTTTCTGTTTAAGCAGACTACCTATTAAAACACAAGCTGCAGCACAAAACACTATGTATTCCCGCCTATCCATATTAAGAACTGAAGTTAGTGAGAACTTTGCTTGGTAAACATGTTCGTGCACAAGTGTGCTACACTGTACGCTTACAAAAGTTATGCACTGCTTTGCCGGTGGACACAGAAGATAAATTCGATACCAGTGAGCACATTCAATGCTGGAGTTTCACACAAAATGTTTGTAAACAAATGTGGTGAACACTATTTTGGTGGAATCGTACCTTTAGAAACACTGTTTCCACTTTTGTCTATTATTTTGTATATTAGTATATTATGTTTTATCTTCATATAAAAAGCAAAAAATACAGTAAAACATCAGGAATTTCTTGGAAATAACTTGTGTTAGTAATACAGGTTTCACTGTTGTTTATTATTTGTATTCTTGTGTTTTCTGTAAATTTTGTTTGCAAATGTCACATTTTTTGTGTTTCAAATGTTATTGACATTGTAATAGAAAATTAAAATAACATATCGGCTATATGCTGCAAACCTGTGATGCATGTTTCTTTCATGTGTATGACGTCTTTTGTCTTGTAAACAGACAACCAAGACTACTCCATAAAAGATTTGTTGAAATTACTTTTGAAAATGTGGAACACAAGGCTATTATTAGTAAAGATGCCAGAGGAGAACATGTTAAACTTGTTTCTAATTAAAACTTCTGATTCATTAGCTACTTTGATGTTACTTTTATCACCATTGCAGTTTGTCTCAAAGAAATGCCTTTTATTTCATACACTTGGTGATGAAATGAGTGTCATTCTACTGAAACCTTTTTTTTGTATATGTGTCAAACATTTTCAACTTGAAAAAGAGTCAAATACTTGATAAATTATATACACATATCATTTGCAGGAACCAAACCAGTTAATACGAGCAGGAGCTCTAAGAGTGTTATCTAGCATACGAGTTAAAGTAATAGCACCAATTGTGATGTTAGCAATAAGAGATGCATCATCTGATATGTCACCTTATGTTAGAAAAACTGCTGCTCATGCTATCCCTAAGTTATATAGGTAAATCATGCTCAACGTTACTTAAATACATTTTCAGCAATTGTTTCAATTTCACTTGCATATCATAGTATAACTAGTATCTTTTACAAATATTAAAGAATTATTCCGATTTAAGGAGTTAGGTCATTTTCTGTGTAGGTGCTCTAAGTGAGCGCCCTCGCGCGTCAAGGTTCGGTCGTGACATCACATGACATAAGTTCAGCTTCATTACAAAATTGATGTATATGATACAATTTCTTTTACAGTTTGGAACCTGAGTTAAAATCCGAACTGATATCAATAATTCAAAAACTACTAGCAGACAAAACAGTGCTAGTGATAGGTTCAGCAGTAATGGCATTCTCAGAAGTGTGTCCAAAAGGGTAGATTTGATCCATCAAGTTTACAGGAAGCTTTGTGCCTTGTTAGTGGATGTTGATGAATGGGGCCAGGTTACAATTGTCAATATGTTAACACACTATGCCAGGACACAATTTGCTGACCCAAATTTACATGTAAGAAACAGCAAACTCTACTACTGTTAGTTACTCAATATTACTTGATCTAAAGATTTATGTGTAAACTACTTACTTTTGAATGGCGCAATGAAATTAATGAATGCATGAGTGTATGTGGCAGTCGGATATTTTAAAATGAGGGCTGGCCACTGTTTAGGAACATTATCTCAAATGAAATAGGGGGTTATGCGGGACCTCATTTGAAGCTCCTCATTAGTATCCAATCCATAACTCTGGAATATAAAATAAGTATTATCCCGCCAAAACTAGGTTCAGTCATAGTTAATGAGACCTCCGGGTGTGGTTCTTTGTACCTTGGATGCAGTGGTGATTTGGGCGCCACCTAGTTTCAAAAACAAGGAAATGAAATAACAAGTATCACTGTTGGGATTCTGCGCTAAAAGGAAATACAAACTCACAAGATACACGACATTTATTGAACAAAAAAAAATAAAAGAATTTAAAGTAGTCCCTCAAAGACAAGTTGAAGAGAATTATCGGTATTACCCCCTAGCTAAATGGTTATAAAAAAAACCTTGGCTATCCCCGACGGCAACCGAGGGCAGGAAGTCCCAGATGTCCCTGTATACCTGAAGGTAGAACCCAAGGTAAAAAACCGGATGGTAAAAACTGCAGGGTAGAACCCTAAATACGTACGTAGAAAAATTACTTGTAAAAAAAACCACGAAATCACGATTTTGACTACTAATCCCCCCTTTTAATTTGGTTCCAAGAATTAAAGATTTAACTTTGACATGGAACCATTTAGTCTTGGTAACAGAATATGAAATCAATATCTCCAAAATAGCTGACTCGGCAGACTGTCAGCATTGAGCAATTTTGGACATACCACCTTTCAAAGTGTCATCAAAACACTGGTTATTTTGTGCTAGTAGGCGAAAATCTGATGAGTGTCACCTACCAGTGGCTTGCCATTCACATCCTCACTACTGATATGGCATGTTTCCTTTTCATCTTCTGCATCCATGACAAACGCAGACAGCGCCGTTTCATGCTCTTTAGCAATGGGAAATTCTGGGAGTTTGTATTGACCAATCACTTTCCTGGGTTAAACATATAGAACATCTAGGAAAAAGGTTAACAATGCATGCTATAGCATCAGGGTACTAAGTAAGTACCTAGACCTTGATACACTAAAACGGTATATTACGCGAATTTTGAGTTTTGCCATAATTTTTGTTCCGGACGTATGTTCAGCAGCCATACCTATAGAATCTTTCTAGTGCATAGTGTGTGCTGAGATGCATCCTAAAATTTCTTAGGGAGACTTGCAGAGGAAATTTAAGAGTTATAAATTTTAACTGTAACCACAATATACAGGGTGACTTTGAAGTTGAGTCATTAATTTTCAGATAATGATTGTAGAAGGAAGATAAACCAAAATATGTGTGTAAAAATAAAAAAAATGTTTACCTTGTTTTATAAAGTATCCTCCCGACAAGTATTTCAGTGGGGACCTGTATTTGATCGTGAGGTCTTGGAGCACCGGCATGCCGTCCATATGTGAGGTCTTAAGTCACCTGATTCACGAACCCGTTGTACTACATTAACAAAGGCACGAGGGGTTGATTGCACCGATCCGCATAAACATGTGCCAATTTTTATTTCGTTTGAGCCACGCAACAGACACCACTATTCACTACCGACTGACACTGACTGTATACAACTGAATGAAATAATGTAAAAACATCGTTCCAAATTCTTTCGCTTTTTGTTTTCCGATGCGATGAACCGATAAGGCGGATTATTCCGTTGTCGCCAAACACGAGCACATAATATTATTATTGAGACAGGGCGGTACTTAAACTTCCAAAGGGCTATAACTTTGTTACTTTAATTTTATCAGAAAATGGTAAAGGAAAAAAACATTTCTTTTGATCAGATCTACTCACTGTTAAAATAAATGACTCAACTTCGAAGTTACCCTGTATATTCAAGAGGTACTAATGCTTACATTTAAAAACATTGACAATTTTATGGGTAACCCACGAAGTGACTATAACACAAGAAATATAAATATAAATCTCCTGTATCCAGTCCATCATCTCACGGTTACCGAAAAAAATGTCCATTACAGCTGCACTAAAATATATAATACAAGGTGGGCCATTAAGTTGAGCGGATTTTTAAAATCATAGAAAAAAAAACTACAAAGCGTAGGGAAGATAAATTTATATTTTTATTGAAGTATACATATTTGAATTTTATTTTTAAAAATAACATTATTGAGATGTGAGCCATCGACACGTGCGTACTCCTGAAAACTCACTGGCACAATCGCTCGTGTTATAGTGGTCATCTCCTCGGAAATTTGCTTGAGCTGGAACAATCTTCGTCTCAGTTTATTGCGTGAATGAGGCTCTTGAGGTATCCTCGGAGAAAAAAAAAATATGGCGTGAGATCTCGGGAGGCCACGGAATGTCATTTCGTCGCGATATCAGTTTCCAGCAAACATTTCGTTCACAACTGCTAAAAACTCGTTGGCGATATGGGATGGCACGCCATTTTGTTGAAACCAGGTCCTGCTATGGTAGGCTGCAAAATTATGCAGTTGTGGGAAGAAAAGGAAAAAATAGGGTCAGATGATTCCTTCAGCAGGTATGACGGACCAAACTGTAACATAAACGCGATTGCAAGGTCGTTCGTGTTTTAATTTGGATTTTCTGTGGCTCAATACCTTTAATTTTGCTTGTTGACAAATCAATTTAAATGAAAATGAGCTTCATCAGAAGAGAGAATATTGTTCAAACTTCGAAACTTGTTTCGGCAAACGCACGGCATAGATTGGTGGTCCTGCGGTTTTCAATTCCTGCACTAGTTGAAGTTTATACGGGTTCAATTTTAAAGTCTCTTTACAAAAATACGCATTGCAGATGTTCTTGATATGGCGAACTCAGCTGATCTTCCCATTCTATGTGAAAAATATTTAAGGCCATCATAAAATGTTTAACTGCACTTTTCCACTAAAATAGAAGTACGAGTTGAGTTGATATACAATACAGTTTTTCATGTAAATTTTAGAATACAGCTAATGAATCGGACAAAGATTCTTATGACTCAAACTCTGAGTTGTCGGATAAACCTGTCCCAAGCTTGGACCCAGATCATCGTTTATTATTGCGTTCAACACGTCCGTTGCTGCAGTCGAGGAATGCAGCTGTTGTGATGGCAGTTGCACAATTGTATTATCACTCAGCACCCGCCAGCGAAGCTCCACTGGCTGCCAAAGCATTAGTTAGGTAAGCTTCAACTAACTCCAAATAACCAAACTAGCGACATATCTGTCGTTCGTCCGACCACAGACGGCCAATCATGGACAGCCATTCGTGCTATTTGGCAACTCTTCAGCATGGTCTCGGTGTACAACAAATGAAGGCTTTGGTGCAAAAGGTGTTAAAAGGGTGCTTTTTTGGTAGTACATCTATCCAGTTCTTAGATACAGAGATTCATAAAAGTGTTAACTATATCAAAAACTTCAATCTGTAAACTTTAAAAGGTGTTAACTCTTGCATTACGGTAAAAAGTTAAGGGTTAATTCAGTTTTCATTTAAAATGGAAAGATGTTTACGATGTAGGATCGAATGAGGAACATGCGGCAAAGTAAAAAAGCTTTTGACGTACAAAAATCTGATCGAGGAATAGCAAAACAAACGAAAAAATCATACCTCACATTTGATTTACAAAAAAGGCTTTCCTTGCCGAAAATGTCTTCTATTTACGACAAGATGGTTCTAAATCTAGGAATACATTGATATCAACACAGCAACCAATTGTATTTTTTTTTCACGTCTGGACCGAAGACCAAGGAAATCGCGGTTCTGAAGATGTTGGCAGCTCACTTATGGCCTTTTTGGAAATATCAAGGACCAAGGCATGGTTTGCGATCATCTGATTGCATGGAATGATTCAGCCGGTGCCTAAAATAATATATATATATATATATATATTCTGTCTATGGCACTACCCAATAATCTCTGGAGTATTCAAAAAATTTACCATAAGTTCCCACTGAAGTACTTTTAATAAATAACATCATTGAATTAACACCTTTCTGCTACTTTCATTTTCCGGGTACAAACAAATAACTTTTTTAAAAAGGTGTTAAGTCAGATTTTCAACATCTTTTTCAAATTTTGATAATAAAAACAATTTTTTAACAAAACTGTCTATTCGAGATACTGTTATAAGTGTCTAAAATAACATTCAATGATAAAAGCAGCCCTAACACCATTCAAAAAAAATGTCAGGATTTAAACTTTGAGGCCAATTTCTCCAAACTATAAAATCTGAGTTAACACCTTTTTGCACCAAAGGCTTCAAATGAAACCTGATCAGCTTTACTCTATTCAGAGACAGCACAAAGTACCATCTACTACGAAATAACCAATTATCCAGTATATTTACTCTAAGGCATATTTTTCAATATGTGTATGCTGTTTAACCATTTTCCACAATTCCATCGTTTTTGAACCACCATTATGCATTTATATTTATATACAGGGTGTCCCAAAAGTCGTGGATCAAACCAAAGGGTGTCGTTTCCAATCAGAAAAAATCATACGAGGACTGTAATTATGAGACTGATTTTTAAAATTTTTTATCCAAATGTAATTACAATTTTATATTGTCACCCTCAAATAATTTACTTCTGAAGCCACACAGCGCTGTAGACGGTTCTTCCACTCCTCGTAGTAGTGATGGAACTCCGATACTGGAGTAGCCTTCGATTAGAGTCGTTTGAATGTTTTCGACTGTCTGAACTTGTACTGAAGGCGGATCAAAAATCTGGTTTCGGTATGGTACTGCTTGCCGATTCTTATTATACTAGACATGAGCTCCAAGTACGGTATATGAGTGGCTCTTTATTCCTCGTGCTTCTCCTGATTGTAGTATCGTCTTGGGTATCCGTTGTTTGTTAGATCTTCCTTAATCTCATCGGTCTCCTCTTCTCAACTTGCCTGTGTGCTGCAGATGTCCTTAGCTCTATCAACGAGAGTTCGAATCACCTCTTTCTTCCTGGTCACAGGATAGAGATGGAAGGCTGTTGTCCACTTCCTCTTCTATCGTAAACTTTATCGATGGTCTTAGGCTGTTGAGGTGTTCAAAAAATTTTCGCAGCTAGTCGTATCTATGGTTCCGGATAATGTCGTCCACATATCGCATCCATAACTCCGGTTTTATTTCTGCGCTTTCCGTGGCATTAACTCGAAGCATTCCATGTACAAGTTAGCCACGACTGGAGGCATCCCTTCTTTCTTGTACGTAAAATTCTTCTTCACTTAATTTACAGACCTCGTATAATCCTTTATGAATTGATGACCTCCCTGAAAATTGCAAAGTCAACCTACTTGACGTCATATTTTTTTGTTAGGTTACTGATCTCATGTTGAAGTTCAGAGCATCGTTTGAACACAATAGCTTCAATCAGCGCTAAGAACAAAGGGATGTTTGAACCTTATCTGAAAACATTTTTGTGAGAACTTCCGATCATACAAACATTAAATTGTTGAAGTTGGAGATACTGACGAATCTAACCACGGATGCCAATGTTTCAATCA